TTGCATTGTATAGTGCCACAAAAAAATGGAAGGGTTAATTTCTTATAAGGTTACCCTTTTGACGTCACAAACATTTTTCTGGTCACAGTCGCGAAAACACGCCCCTGAATGTTTACACAAACATCCGACAAAAGTTAAAGAATTTATAGACCCTTTGCACTGCCGCCATCTTTGAGGAGTGTGCTAATACACATGAGTAAGACGTCTGGTGCATTCATTGTTACGGAATCAAATTACCGTCTATTTTGAGATTTCTGCTAAAATGTTTTTCCTAGTTGATCTTGAGCTTCAGGGTCAGACATATCATCTCAAATGTGATGACTCCTTCATGATGACAACATCACAAGGCCAGGGGAAGGAGGGTAGGGGACAGGACAAGGGGTTCTCCACAGGGCCTGTGAGGAGGGGAAGGGGTGCTGATGGACCAGTCAGGACCTCATGAGCGGATATGTAGCTCACCACTACGGGCCCTGTAAGAACAGCTGCTGTTTTGTAGGGGCTCACTTGTATCTTGGGTATAACAACTTGATCAAAACAGACTCTTTCTTAGACAGTTTGTGTAAATGAGAACCATCTCGCAAGAGTTGCAAACTGAAAATGAGAATACTTCTTCATGTAACGTTCAACTGAAAACGAGAATACTTCTTCATGTAACGTACAACGTATACATGTACATGTACGTACATGTATGTCGTGAATGGGGAATCTTAGACTATTTCAATGGGAACAAGAATTGTTGGCCTTTGGTGCTTGACTTTTGTTGCCCTTGATTCAACATTGTTATTTCATTCAATAAAACCTTTGACTTAATTTTTTTACAACTGACTCCAAAACAATGCTGACCAATCTTACAATCTCAGGGATTTTCAGAGAATCTGTGACAATTCAGGGACTTTTCATTTTATTTAAAAATGGCATTTTTTTTTTTTTTTTTTTTTTTTTTTACAATTGATTAGTTATCAGATAAACCCCACAATGGTCTAAGCCTATCTTGAAAGCCTACAAATTAATCTTTTCTACAAAAGAAACCTGTAAGGCTGTAAATAGTACACATACATGTACAGGCACTGACAGGCCCCATTTGAAAAAAAAGGTGCAATCGCAAGACTTGTTCATGTACATGCAACTGTACACCTCGAGCTAATAAAATTGTTATTGGGAACTCTACAATGCATTCACTAAAAACAAACTTTTCAATTCTCTTCCCCTTTATGACTTCACAAGAATTTCCTCACACCTTCTTCCTAAAAGCTTTGGTATGCACACAATGCATTGACTCTTTGACATAGCCAGGAGCCCTTTAACTTTCACAGGTCATATCGGTGTATCATGTTTATGCCTTGGGTTTTGGTGCAGGCACCACATGTATCGTGCTGTTGATTAATGTCCGACTTTGCAACACCATATAAAATATTGTTTTATGTGTGGGAATGTTTAGAATTTTTGTAGGGAATGAGTTAGTTGGTCTGTTAGTTGGTTTGCTTTTGCTGTAAGTTTCAGAAATGGATGGATAAAGGGGGTTGGTATTTTATAGCAAATATTGTTGCACTGATCTGTTTTAAAGTTTTGTATTCATGGATGCTGGAAAAAAACAACAAAAATTGCTGTTCTTGTAGTCTGGTTCCCTGACCCTAATTCAGACGAAACAGAGCAATTTATAGATTTTGGGAAACTGTCAGGTCAGGGAACCAGACTACATGTAGCTGGTTTGCACCTGTTCATGGATGTGTAACCGATTGCAAACAAAATGTGGACTAACTAAATTTGGTAAAATTGGGGGGCAGTATTTGAAGAAAGTCAGTTTTTTCCAACGATGGTCGGCCGACCATCGTTGGAAATTGATTCCACTTTTCTTGAAAATGACAGCACACCAGGTACTGGTACCATGATTTCACAGGATGCTTGAGACTTTTAATCACTTACAGTCAAGTGAGGTATTTCATAATAATTTGGTAGTTTTGTTTTTTGATGTTTGCAAATGTTGTAAAAAAAATTACCTTTATTTTTCTACATTTGTGCATACATACCGGTACTGTATGGTAAAATTTGGTAAAATTCATATACACTACGGTACAATGTTCAAATGTACCGGTACATCAGCACAACAGTGCACACGGACAAATATGGACATCTGTTTTTGGTATTACGGTAACTTAATATCCTGAAATTTGAAGAGCAAAGGCATACAATTGTATTGCCATTGATGAATTATCTGTGCTCAGCAAAAGTGCATGCACTCACATAATGTACAGGTATAATGTAGTCGGGGAATCCAAATTTAAGAGTGTAATGGACAGAACTCAGGACCCCAGACAATTTTTTGTACAAAATCGTACGGATCATGGCTTCTTGATAAGTATTCCTCCTTAACCAGTTAACGCTGGAGGACGTGCTAACACAATCTGGCAATGTACATTCGCAGGGGCTGGCGACGGATTAAATCGTCAAGCTTTCTCGAGTCTCGGGCAGGTGGAGCCTGTACATGTACACACCATTACTTACCATTGGTTTGTACACACCGTGTATTGAACTTGAACTTGGCCGTTGTACACCGCCTGTCATTGTAGCAAATATTGCTCCTTGGCGGTGTTGAAAAATTTGAATTTTAAGTGAGAGCTATTGAACAAATACTGTACAAATGACTTTCCAGAGTCAGTATTTGTGGTGTTTGACTTGGTTGTAAAATTAGGCCGACATATTTTTCAAAAATGGTGTTTTTCAGCCAAAAGTAATCCCAGCATCAAGTGGTTAAGAACCCTAACATGGGCCCAATTTAATTAAATGTTAACATTCACACATGAATTGGAACTGTGATTCCCTGCGTACTTGAGATCTAGGCCAATCAGATAACAGGGAAAGCTGCTTCAGAAGCTTTGAGTATTTTGTCTGTTCTCTCATTTAGGACAAGTCATCAGTCTAATTACTGCGGGACTATTTTGGGAGTACATGTGTTTATGCAACATCAGTTACATAAGTTTTACTTTTATGAGTTACTGAAAATTTCATGTCAAATTCATCAATAAAACAGCAAGGGTCGCTAGTTATTAATAAAAGAAGGTCAGGCCACCAATCTATCATGAGACTATTTTTGATTTTGTCTTGAGTAGTCCAGAGGATGGGACATCAGTTATAAGATTAAATTTTTAGAGTTACTGAAAATTTCATGACAATTTCATCAATAACTTACACAGCAAGAAATTAAATCTAAAAATTAATGTGGCCTGACGTTGCGAACTTAGCAAGTTCTTCTTCAGAGGCTAAAACAGCAAAAGATTGATTGTACTGTGGTTGAGAGGCCTGATTGGTTCTCATTCCTCACTGATGACTTGACCATCGGCCGAGGCGATAAATCTTCTGTCCATTGCACTGGCTGACCAATCGGTGAGATCTGTTTGAGTCAACTCACTAGCCCGGCAGTTGGTCGGTCGGATGGTTGGTTTGTCAACCATGCGGTCATCCAGTCATCTTTACCCTCGGACCCTTTGGTGATGGTCAGCCATGGATGCAACGTGTACAAAGAGATATACAATGCAGACCATTGTTGACACTCTGTTTTACCCAAGCATGCCCATCAAAGAGAACAAAGCCTGCACGGACAGACAATTGTTAGCATGACTTTGTTTGTATCTAGCATAAAATGCTTCAAAGATCAAAGGAAACTGTTTATGTCATCAGCAGGTTACCGTCGTCTATTAGAAACAAGGTAAAGACTGCACTCAATGATTCAGGTGCTTCACATGAACAAAACAGCTGACATCTTTAAACTCACTGGGGCTTTCCTCCCACACGGATTATGCAAAACCTGATCCCAAAAAAAGCTGAAATTGCTTTTACGCTTCTATCAGGCTTTTGTTATAATATTCTCAATCATATTTCACATGGTGAGAAACAAAATTGAGGACCCTTGAGAGACAAATTTGATCATCTCAGGGAAAAACAAAGTAGGAAGTGTCTGAGTGGATGGAAAACCCCGGCAAGTTTTAACATTGGAGTACCCAAGCAATCAAGTAGCACCTGCAAACCCATGGAGCGGCATGGTAGGTGAGATTGGAAAAGGGACAGCTTTGTTAGCTATCTTGTTTTTTTGGGAACTTATACAAGCAATGGCAGCCTATTGGAACTCGTGTTCAAAGACACCGGTGGCATTGTGCATGCAAAGCAACTGCACTGTCGGTGCCTTTTTCTCTTTTGACTAGTCACTTGCCTCGTGACACGGACAATTTCCTTTGATCTTTGAGGCATTTCACGCAAGGCATTGCCAGAAAAGTCATGCCAACAGTGCTGTCCACACAACTTTTATTCTCTGTGATGAGCCTGCTTGGGTAAAACTGAGTGACAACAATGGTGTGCCTTTGTGGTTGCGCTTCATTGCATACACCACATCCATGAATGACCCTCACCGGAACGGTCCGAGGGTACGGATGACTGGACGACCGCATGGTTAGCAAACCAACCAACCGACTGACCAACTGCTGGGCTAGTGAGTTGGCTCAAACAGATCACAAGGCTTGGCCGGTTTATAATGCAATGGACAGAGGACGTGTTGTCGCTTCGGGCCGATGGTCAAGTCATCAGTGAGGAATGAGAACCAATCACACCTTTCAACCAGAATAGCCACATGTACAATCAATTCTTTGCTGCGTTTTTTTTATGAATGAAACCGTCATAAAATTTTCAGCAATCACAAGTCTTAAGTCAAATAACTGATGTCAAATACTGGGCAACCGTCCCAACAATCGCACAACCAAAACAATTGTAACCAAGTAACCAATCAAGCTATCAATTCGTCGGTCGCACTTTGAGGCGACGTATCACGAATAGTTGCCACACCACAAAAAGATGTATCATGTCCACAAAGTCCATGGGTGATCTGTCACATCTTGGAGTGACAAAATTATCGTATTCGTTACCCTGTGCTGCACCAGATGAATCAATCATCTAATAACCGAATAAAAGTTACAGACGTAGCGAACGGTCAAATTCTCTCAAAAACTACTTACGCAATGGCTCCTTCGTGAATGACCCCATCCTCTCCAGCCTGTATCTGTGAGAAGCACCAGCCGCCCGGTCTGAGTATACATGTGTTGTTGGGGGCGTCTTCCGGACAGTGCTCACTGCAGTAGCATTTCATTCCTTCTTCAGCTAGTACTGGACAAATGAAAAGACGGAGAACAAAGCATAGAAATTAATTCAAGGGCTCCAGTTTACTCTATGATTCCTGGGGAAACAGTCGATGGCTCCGTGTGGCCTTTGTGTACTCATGAATGCTAGCGTGTACAGTGTGCAGGACTAGAGTTAATATGTACGTGTTCACCTTTTCAAACCGTGGACGAAAAATACCAGAGAACAAAAGAGAACAATATCGTCCACAATTCCCAGCATACATCTGCGATTAGGGTCGTGTACAAAAGCTATGGGAGTCTTCCTAAAATTAAAAAGTTAGAGTACAAACAAAAGAGGGACAATACGGTAGGACGTCCACTATCGACGGTGAAAACACGTTTGTGTGGGTGTGCTTCTTCACATGATTATGAGCTGGTGGGTAACATTGCCAGTGAAATCAACAGCAATGCAAATAGACTGGCTCTGAGTCCTTCCACTGGCCTTCTGATAAATAGACTGGTTCTAGTAGTCCTTCCATAAGTAACTTCAACTTTATGCGGGCGGAGACTGGACTGGTTGGAACAAGCGTAAACCTTTTTTACTCGCAGTAACTGCAAAGACTTCATTACATCAGTTCCATTTGAAGAAACTGTTAAGGATGAATTCACAAGTACGGCAGGACTTCCATGAACAGTTCATGAAATGCCAAATTCTGTCTATCACAGACGCAGGCAGGCAAACACATCTACCGGTACATGTACTACACGGTAGATATCAAACAAAATAACATGTACAGTGTACATACAAAAAATCTTGGAATTTTGTTCGAAGGGCAGGGTTCAACAACTGCAAATTTACTTAAATGTTATTGCGTGTTAGGTCTTGAACATTTTACCACGTGTTAAAATGTGAAAGATTGAGAACTCTTTAACACGATTATTCAAAGCGAGAATCCAACACGTCTCATGTACCAATTCCACTGCAGGGTCAAGGTACCGGTATGTACTGCAGGCACGCAACTGGGAATTTAGAAGGAAAAAAAGAGGTAATTCCAAACCACGCACGAGTAGAAAAGCCAGATACTCAACCAACATAAATGTGATGTCAAATTTCTGTGAATCCAAACAAAAACACAGCTTAATCTGATAATCTGATCAGTTCATGAATTAATACTTCCCCAAATTTCAACGCTGTCTGGGCATGAGACAAAACAACCCTGGCTTGTGACTGGAGGGAAGGTGCAGTGTCAACACAATGTGATAACCCAACCCTGGCAGAAACAACAGAATCTTGATTGGATAACCTCCCAGGAACTGTATCATTTATCAAGCGAGCGAGGCCAATGACATCAGTGCTGACACAATTACTGGAACGCACTGGAAGGTGTCCAATTTTTTTTATTTTAGAAAGTATGGTTAAGCCATGGAGTAGTGTACACCCTAATTTTGAAAGAGGGAAACAGGGAGTAGACAATCTAAAAGTGAAATACTTTGAAAGAGAATCACTTTAGTCAAAACTCGAGTGAACACTTTTCAACTAAATTATTTCACTCTGAATTGTCTTGTTGGCTGGAGCATGGATGAAGTAAATTTTTACTCAAAAATAGAGTGAATTTTTACTCTTTGGAAATGTAAGAGAGTAATGCATACAAATGTGGGTAGGCATACACTGCGTTATGGGGAAGTTTTTTATTGTTAGGCAAATTAGGACCGAGTTATGGGGACTTTCTGCTGTCCCCATAGCATTTTCGGTCCCCACAAATACCTTGCACAGACGAGTGTAAGTCCCCACAATTACGGAACAAGAACGTGTGAACTTTTGAATTACATTCATGTACATTTACCTAAAAATAAGAAAGGTATCAAACTGCACAACTTAGTTACACTTGTACATGTTGGTACTGAATGTACATGTACAAAGTGAACTGTACATGTACATGTACGTATTCACATCATATACGTACATCATGTACATGTACATGTACATGTATACAGGAACATGTACATGTACAGCAGATACCTGTAGGCTGTAGGAAGTTAGGATGTTCATGTACATGTGCATGTACTATCATAGAGCAAGGTTTACATGTACATTGTACATGTACATGTATGTTCCCATTCAGTATCTCTGTACATGATGTACATGTACATGTACAATGTAGGTCATGCTACAGTTTTTTTTCTATTAGTAATAACACGTTTTGTTTATCTTGGGGCCTGTGGAATGCCTGACCCAGTATACAATTTACAAAGCCAAACCATTGCCACTGGCCATTCACCACATGTACAAAGTACATGTACATGTACATGTACATGTATGTACTGACCCAACAGCTAACATACTGTTGGAGTGCAGATTGTGTGGTATTGGTAAGGATGTCCATAGGTGCATAAGCAGTACATAGACTCCGTGCATTTCAGAAGACTGCCCTTCATGACCACTCAGAGAGAGCTCTGTGAGTGGTCACAATATACCACAAGACATTTCCGAAACTTTGAACTGTTTTTAAACTTAAAACATATCAGCAACGTGGGTTGAACTCATGTTTACGAAACAGACCTTAACTTTGAGCTGTTTTAAAACTTCAAACATATCAGCAACGTGGGTTGAACTCATGTTTACGAAACAGACCTTAACTTTGAGCTGTTTTAAAACTTCAAACATATCAGCAACGTGGGTTGTACTCATGTTTACAAAACAGACCTGTTAAAAAGTTTACGAATATCACTGTCACGTGCCTCAATCCAGACATCAAGTTGCTGAATGGTTTTTAAGCTACCGGTAGGAAGAGTGAACGAAAGTTTGTAACCCATCGGCCAGCAAAGTGACATGAACCACTGGGGCTAACCCTGGTGGCAAATTCTAATACGATTATGACCAACAAAAGTACAAATCACATGTACAGATTTTTTGACGGACTGTCTGAAATGGCAATTAAGTTAGTGTTGGTTCATTGTTATTTCAAAATACCATCAAACATGTGGAATGAGTACAATTTGTACATGGACAAGTCAACGTACATGTAGCTCTTCCAAATTCAACACATTAAAAAAACATAATACTCTAAAGGTTTTACATGCATGTATGTACACACCATACCAGTGATTCATATTTTTCCACCTGGCCCATAGATAACCAATTTTCACTCGCAACCAAAGATTGATAACCAATCATGCATACATTTTTAATCTAAACTTTTTTTAACCCAGGTATTATACGGACAATACTGAAAGAAAATGCAGTCGGACACTGTACAATGCAGGTTAAGCAAAGGGATTGTGTATAGAGTACATGTGTACATGTACGTGTTCATGTACATGGCCAAGTTAACAAAAGACGCGACACGAACTGTAAATTTGCTGCATTATGTTCCACTCAGTCCACTGATCGATCCCGTGGGCAAACTTGAGGGCAATTTAGTCTGACAAGGCCTGCCAGAGAAGTGCACTATAAGCTTTTGTCTGTTTCAATAACTCAATCTACAGAAGAATGGAAAAAAAATGTAAACAAAACAATTCTAAAACCCACTGACTTCCCCCGCAAGTATGCAGTAAAGCCTGCCTAGTTTGTTGAATTTCCGATTTTTTTTCTTTTTTCGAGCAAAAAAAGTCTCTGTTGATGAATTATAATTGACAGGTTGTCCAGGGTGTTGTAGGTTCGTGCACGCTGAATAACGTTCCGTGCTCGCGCGGCGGCGGGCCGAGCTGTGTTAAACAAGAGAACGCTGTGTTTGCGTTGAGGCCCGGTAGTTCCGTGAGTGATTTGCTGCTCAATGAGTGTCGACAGTTCAATTTCGTGGACTGGAAATTAACGCTGGGGTGAAGAAAGAACAGGAAAGAGAACTCAAGAATAGAAACCGAGTTGCTTAAATTCCGGCAGGGTGTGATATAACAAACCATGGGCCGTTGCATTCAAAGATTTTTATTCACATGTCGATGTGATTTCAACATCACTTTTCAAACCTGTAAAGGTGCCCAGATAATGCCTTTGAGTAATTTTTTTCATAGTCTAGTTGGCGAGACAATCTGGAAGCAAGTTCACACCTGTTGCCTACTTGCTTTGTATAATAACTATATATATCTTCATGTCTGCATAATAGCAAGATGTGTTTCTGTTACATGCGTACTTGCAAAATTCGTCACCGACACCACGAACTGACACTCGGTTGCGTGTGAGTGCCCGGCACACGTGCGTACTTAACAGAAACGCGTTTTTTTTTCACGAACTGACACCAGTACTACATGTGCGCACTCCGTACATTTTTGTTTTCGAAACCAGTCTTAATTTCACCGGTTACAATTTTTTTTAGTTAATTTCTGTGTAAGCCCACAAGTATACTGATGGAGTAAATTCGTGTCAAACCTTTCAAAGCGTTTTACTCCGAATGGTACATGTTTTTCCGCCACATGCTTGCGTCTGGCGGAAAACTAATATTATTGATTAAGCGGCTTTCACGAACTGACAGCACACAGCGCGTGCGTGTCAGTTTGTGAAAACGGTGAGGAATTCGTCTGGAGACATTTTAACTTGCCTTGACACCCCTTTCCCATCCTGAAAATTCTTTGTTTCTGAAAGCTGTTATAGAAACAAACTTTGATCTCAATCATTAGCAAGACTACTTTAGACGACATTAAACCACCAATATGCTTTACTGGAAAATACAGTACACGTACCGGTACCTCTTAGGAAAGTTCGGTTTTAAAAGTGTTCTATATTTTTTAAGTTCACAGCCATGAATTTTAGCACTTAAATTGTTTGGTATGAAATTCGTTTCACAGCCGCTTTAACTCAACACACCCTGAGTGCATTTTAATAATACAAGGGGGAACCAATATTATTTTGTCTGAGCCAAAGACGTTCCGACAAAACTACGCTTGATTGAAACAAATTTAATCCAAAGCTGAGAAAACGGCCTGCGGGTTAACATTCAATCATAAATTTCATTAAAAAAAAAAAAATTCTGATATGGCCAATATTTTTTGTTCAGTTAAAGCAGGAAAAAAAACAAATCCTTGCTCGAGGGAAAAGCTTGGAAAAAGAAGGAAAAAATAGCTGTCTACTGCCAAAT